ATGCTGGTGTTTAGACAAAATATTTCCAAGACAACAACAACCAAATGTGTTTCTTCCCCTTCACGTTTAGGTCTTGTGGTGCGGTGTATCACGGTGGTTAATGAAGAGATGGTAGATTTCATCCAAAATATAACCACTGTGCCAAAACACTAAACCCCAGGACTGAAGCTGTGATAACACATGACAGTACAGTAGCTTTACAAGCTAAGCTTACAGGCCAAATATCAATGAATCACACAGCTGATTGGCTGGTTTGAGCAAACAGCAGCAGACAATGAACACAAAGCCTGAACAGTGATGTTTGTATTGAGGGTCTGAGGTAACTCAGCACTGTTACTTTAATTTACACTATTAGTATTATAATTACACTAGTATTACACTGCTATAACATGCATTACGGCCAAACGCAAAGCATCATCCCATGGATATCAAATCATCATTCATCTCGCTAGCCAGAAAACAATACAGCTCCGTCCTGAATGAAGACGTAGCAAAAACAAACAAACAGAAACAGTAGAAATAAAACGGAATCGCACCATGTTCTCTTCATCATCATCTTGACCATTATAATCACTGTTTGAATCTCATTTATTTGTTTTCACTCATTTTTCCGCATTTCGTGTGCGAAAGTCTGTTAGCTTCACTAACGTTACTAGACGTGAGCTAGCACTGCAGCTACAAAAATAAACAGTAAACATGTTTAAAGTGTGTTTTTCATCAAACACACACAATCGTGTATGAAATGACTTATAGGACACTGAATGTGTGACACATAAACAGAGAATACTGCAGAAGTGAAAGCGCGTGGATCGAGTTAACGTGAAATCGTGCAGAACACTGGAAGAAACGACAACAAACAGTGAAACTCACCGACAGAATGATTCACAGTCATTTAAAGCTGGATGTTGAGCATCACTGTGATTTCCTTCAGCTCGGTGTAAGAGCAGCGGTGTGTGTGTGTGTGTGTGTGTGTGTTTGTGTGTGTCTCGACCCCTCGGCTTAGCGTCAGTTGGTACAGTCCTGTGCGCGTGAGTGCGCGCGAAGTACACGTGTTTTCCCGGTGTTACGAGATTTTCGGTTTCCGAGATTTATGCCCCGCCCACTGAAACAGAAAATCTCGGAAACCGAAAATCTCGTAACACCGGTTCATATCTCACACGTCATCACGCATGACACTGTACAGTATTTGAAAAATAATGTGTTTTTTGAACATTAAAGCATGTCAACATATTCTGTTACACCAAATAATGATCTTTAAAAAAGCATCATATGACCCCTTTAAATCCAGATGTTAAATCTTCATGAGGATATCCGGGGCTTTTCTGTCAAACCAACTGTTTAGGGGAGTGACCAATGTGATAATTTAATATTTGGCTATTATAGGCTAACAAAAAAACATAAAAAAATGTATTAGGGTTGTTGACGTGACATGGCATTTTCACTGTCACACAAGATAAAAAAATTAATATAATTAGCATTGTCATTATTTAAAATGCAGTAAATGGTTAAAAATGTCTTTGTCCCACATGGACCTGTTGTTATAAAAGCTTTTTTGAGCCAAATCTCAAAATTGTCCTATGGTGTGACTGTCTCAAGCATGGTTCAATAAATTACAACTTTTATCAATTAAAAAGAAAAGCATGAATATATTAATAAATACCTCAGGCATAACTTTTCACGTGTATATTTTAGTAAATTGCAATCATTTTTTTCATCCATATAATACTAAAAGCATAGGATCCTCACTGAAAACCATGTCCCCAGTGTGACATCCTGATTTTAAATCGGGCAATTCCACAGACAGCTTTAATTAGTTGAAGGGCCCCATTCAAGGTCATGTTACTGAAGTCCCCTGTGAAGCCCATGTTATGTTAACATGCAGGTTTTGTCTCAGAATTGTTCAAATATTTAACTTTTTTGGAACCACTATAGAAGTTTTCATACATACATTTACGTTGTCCTTTGGTGCGACACCCCTAAATTGTATTTTTTTATAAAATCATGGAAAAAATAATGCAAATGTGTCTTGCTAACTGCTAATGACAGGTTAGCTTGGAATAGCAAGGTCATAAACTGGCAGAAAAGACTGAAACAGATAAAGTCCACCGGTGTGACGCCTGTACTGTTACACCACACGACCAAGACGTCACACAAGAGGACAAGGTCTCTTTAAGAAGCATTTTAAATAAATAAATAATAATGATTTCTTTAACCTCTTTTTATTCTTTTTTTGAGCACTTTCAGTGTTCTTAAATGCAATAATTATACATTAATTAAAATATTTGCTGATGTTTTTGCAGAAAATAAGTATAAAATGTGATACTTTGTTTTTGAGATGAAAGAATTGAGGGAAAGAAATGAGTGAGAGAGAGGACATGGAAACATTGAGAGAAGTCAACAGGGATCCACGCAGAAGGAGGAGATCCTGAGAGAGCGATGCAGAAAGTAAACAGAATCCAAATGATGCCTTAAAATGAAAACAGCCATGTACTTCAAAAGATTGTTTGAATATCAGTCATATTTAGCTGCGCCACACATGCCGCGCGCGGGGAGGATCTAGAAGAGCTTCAGTGACATACTGATTGGCTAAGAGACTAAATGACTGTATTTTGTTGATTTAAATTACTTTTTTGTTTTGTTTAAAAAACATGTTGATATTGTTTGTATCAAAATTAATCTTTCTTTCTCCTTTGACATGTTCAAAGTTAAATAGAAATACTTTAATGTAATACTTCTCACCTTCTCTTTAAAGCAATAACTTTAGCGTGACATAATGTCCTATGGTGTGACACACATAAAAGAAGCACAGATTTGCTTTATCTCTAAATATCTTTTTTAAAAAGCATCACTCGTCTGAAAATGGTGTAATTTTCAGCAGTTTAGAACGGATGACATCAAAGCTTGTCTTGAAAATCAATGAAAAACAAGTCATGATGTTATTCATAATTTCATATTAAATAAATAACACTATATGAAAATACGTGTCTAACAATGAAGAGGCATTTCTCTCATGCTATTTGTATATTATTAAGAGGTTTTTTTTCTTAATTTTTGCTATGTGTCAACCTAGGACAAATTTACGGTACAGTTCAGTAAAAATGTTTTAAAAAACACTGAAAGAATTGACAAAGTTAGTGACCCCTTATATTTTCTCAAACATCAGTCTTCACACTACATAAATACCGTATATGTATTTCTTCTTCAAAAATGGTCTTTTACGGGGGAAAAAAGCATTTTTACTGCCTATTTGTCAACTACCCATTACTATTTATATAGAAATAACAACAGTGTAGTCATAGTTTTATTTGCTTCTGTTTTATTATGTTTTTTTAAGTAATATATGATGTTTTTTTAAGTAATATATGGATTATGAAAAGTGCTATACAAATAAAAATGCTTGAATCAGCTTATGCACTCAACACAAAAATTGTGTTTAAAGATATTTTTCACTTGATCTCATGTAGTCACACTTCCGACAAATGCATGGCAGAAATGGCAGAAATATTGTAATGATATATATTTTTTAAATATATGAAATTATGAACATAAAAACTAAAAATATATGGAAAAATTAAGTGATATATATATATATATTATATATATATATATATATATATATATACATGAAAAAAATTATATTTAAAATTATTTTAAATATAAATAATTAGTAATATACTCAAAAAGGTTAAGACTGGGCTGATGTGAAACTTGGCACTGTGTACTGCAAATACACTGTTGGTTCCTAATAAATTGCATGGACCTACAATGATCCATGTTTGTAAATCACTTGGATGAGAGTGTCTGCTAAATAATTAAATGTGTGTAAAAGAGGTTCAAATACAAATTTGTAACTATCAAAAAGGCCCAAAGTTCAGCTTCCTGGTTTCATACTTGCAGCTCTAGCCCTTGTCTTGTTGTGGCAAAAGGGTTCATTTTAGACCCTGATCTGTTCGGGTTATGAATCTTTTCTTTCCTTTAAATCGGAGGTTTTATGAGGACAGTCCTCCATTCACAACTCGGTTCCAGTCTGTGTGATGCTCCGGGACATTCGAAGCCTGATGCTTTAGTTTATTTGAAGACTATTTTCATTAACAGAGAAAAACAATCCAAACTTGCTGGCCACATTTGATCTAAAATGTAAATAACTCTAATAATCATTTAAAAATTCTTGTTCAATGAAGTTATAAAAGCAAGTGTCACATTCACGACTGTGCTGTTGTACTGAATATCATTATGCTGGGATTTATTTCAACAGCACTTGTTTGATATTGCTAAATTGAACAGATCCCAGAGAAACTACAGCGATAATAGTATCAATACACTGGTAGGGCATTTTGATTACATGAAAGCCTTAAATGCATGGATAAAAGTGTCTGCGTAATTGTGTTTATTAATGCTCAGTATTTGAGTGATCACCACCTAGTTTTTTCCTTTATAGTAATGTATTTCCATGCTTCAGTTCATCTGTTCTTCTTCTAATTTAATATCAACTCTGTGCTGCTTTATTTGGATCAAAGTGTGCTAGCAGAGTGGCCGCAGGTGTATTCCAAACTCCGTCAGATATTTTGCTTAATGTGTTTTTGTAAATGACACTTACCTTGATATTTTCTCCATACAATTTAAGCATGAATTAAATGTCCAAAATAAGTTTTGGGGCCATTGTACAGTTCTCCAACTCTTAAAAAGTAAAATAGGAAGATGAAAATTGGTTCTAGTCCATTTAATGTGAGGTATGGCAAAGATGGGATTGAGATATGAGCTGTAATCAGCCCATCTGGGTGGAGAGACAAACAATCCCCAGCATGCTCAAATTCCAAAGAGGCTCTCTTCAAACCAGTCTAAAACAGCACTGGCCAGACTAGACCGAGACAAGCAAATCAATCACTCAGAATCAGTTATATGTAGTAAACAGCATATATGCAAACCCATCAGATACACACATACGCATATCTAAATTTCCAGTTCGGTGGATTAATAACAGAGACGCAGCGCAGATATACCTTCACAGGAACTGCAGGTCTAAGTCTGGCCGACGGCACCATGGCGGTCTGTGTTGCAATAGACTGTGCTTCTGCCGTCAGTGTTGAAGTCTCCCCGCCGTCCTCATCGAGATGTGATGTCATATCAGCAGGTGTCTCCCCGGAGGAGCTGGGACGCAGTGCAGGTGTGTATCCATACAGCTTTGAGGTCCGCTCGATGACAGCAGACAGAAAAGACGTCCTTTCGGCTCTCCGGCTCTCTTTCGCTCTGCTCTGAGCACCAGCTTCCTCTTTCTGTTTGGCGCTGTGCACCCAGCTCGTGTGCGGCTGCCGCGGCTTGCTGGGGGTTACGACTGGAATCACAGGAACTGGTGGAAGAACGAGAGGCTTGGGGCTCAGTTTAGGTCTGATCCGTGGATTCCTGACGTTAGGGTCCGATCCTGCTCCTGGATGGAGGAAGCTTACTCTGGCAGCTGAAGTGAGTTTGGGGTACACCGGTGGGGAAGAGCTTCCCTGTGAAGCAGATGGACACATCTGGCTCATGATTGCAGAATTCCCTTGACGTAAAATCCAATTAGGGAATTCTGTCCCATCTACTGTCGACCGTGACAGCTGTCCTGACTCTCAGTGAAGAGTTTCCTCTTTAACAGTGCAGTAATCCAATACAACAGGGTTGTAAGTGTCAATGCGATTATTTTTAATATTCTATTATTTTAGCGCACCTCCTTGAACAGACGGGTCTAGGTGGCCCCTGGCAGAGGCTCTCTGGCTCTCCCGATGGTAAATCAGAGGGTCCTCTTTCCATGGGCTGGTACTGGTGCTGATGGTCCCTGGACGCAGAGGAAGGAAGTCTTACCACGATGATGATCTCCTATTTCCTGTAAGAGAGGCTAATCTCTCTGAGTTGGGTGCGAGGGGCTCTGAAAAGCTCCCAGGATCATAAGGACCAGGATGGCACTGGTCCACCCAAACGGCATTTATTAAAAACTGCACACATTTAGTTGGAGAAATTTTTTATTTCAACGAAGAACATATTCAATAGGATTTATTAGACTGTGATTATGTGATTGATTGGGGAGTCCCACATTTCACACTTATAGTGTGAGCAGTCAAGTTGAAGCTTGATGATTGGACCGTATAACATGATCACATAAATCCTGACATTTGGCTTTACATCGCATGCAATTTACTTGTACATTGAGAGTTGGTATTTAACAAAAGCATTGCTGAAATCACACAGTGTATGCCCGGCTTTTGGCATTTAACCAAAAACCCATTCAAAAGACGTATTGATTTTAGGACGAGGGAACCATAAGTGCTGAATTGCCAATCGTTTCCAGTTTTTGGCCTACAAAAATATGTCATCCCTGCAGCACTCTGTTGAAATGAGTCACAATTCACTGAGGAGCAGTTCAAATCCCTTTAAAGCATGGGTGGCCAACCCCGGTCCTGGAACGCTAGCTTCATACAGGGTTCAGATCCAACCCTAATCCAACACACCTGAACCAGCTAATCAAGGTCTTCAGGATCTCATGAAAAGCACAGGCAGGTGTGTTGGAGCAGGGTTGGAACTGAAGTCAGGAAGGTACAGTATGGTGCATTCAAGTCATGTCGGATAGATCATATTTACGAGTTGAATGCACATGAACGCCACCACAAAGTCATTATTGGCGAGTGGGAAACTCAAAATTTTCTTTAAGCCTGAGTTTCCGAGTTGGGGGCGTGTCAGTGAGAAAATATGTCGGATGCAATGGATGCAGCCAAAAACTAGAGATATGCAGCATCTGTATTGAATGTAAATTTGTTGAAATGAATAAAATATTATATTATTGTATAATTACCATAGAATATATAATGATTCAGTTTACATCACCTTCATAAATTGAATAAAAACAGAAAAAAGCAAAAACACAATGATGCACATTCTTTATTCATCATTTTGTAGATGTAGAGTTAAAAAAATAGTTGAATTTTATGTAGAAAAGTTAAATCGCCATCTTGTACCAACCAAAGTGACTTGAACGCACCTGACATCGTAATTACGACATGTCAACTCGTAAATACGAACTTCCCAGGAGGACTTGAATGCACTAGTCCTCCAGGAGCAGCGTTGGGATTTGTGCGCTGTGAAGTACTGTACCATAGCTACATTATGTAGGAAGATTGTCAAAACAGCAGGAAGTTCTGAAAAACGGTTATTAGAGTGGGACATTTGCTTGACTGATAACATACTTGGCTGGCATTCAAAATATATCAGCATAAATCACACTATTGCTCTATTGTAAAGCACAAACCTGATGGACTAGACACAGAAGCAGGGTGTTTCCATGGCTGCCAGCACCTGTCAAAGTCACACGACACCCCTGTCATTGAGCTCAAACATCCAGGAGATGACTGCTGAACTCAAAGGGAACATTGACTGCAGCCTTTCAAAGCAGTCAACTATTCAATCAGTTCGGCAAAATATCTATATCCAATATAAATGAAAACACAATGGAACATCTGAGTGCTGGACATCTTAAATCTTAAAAATCCAACACATCTCTAAACCTACGTCAGTATTTAGTGATGTATATGTGACCCTGGACCACAAAAACAGTCTTAAGATTTATGCATCATGCATAATAATGCATCATCAAAGCTGAATAAATAAGCTTTCCATTGATGTATGGTTTGTTAGGATAGGACAATATTTGGTCGAGATACAACTATTTGAGAATCTGGAATCTGAGGGTGCAAAAAAATCTAAATATTGAGAAAATCATCTTTAAAGTTGTCCAAATGAAGTTCTTAGCAATGCATATAACTAATCAATTGATCTATTTACGGTAGGAAATTTACAAAATATCTTCATGGAACATGATCTTTACTTAATATCCTAATGATTTTTGGCATAAATTTTTTTTTATAATTTTGACCCATACATATATCCCATACAATGTATTTTTGGCTATTGCTACAAATATACCCCAGCGACTTAAGACTGGTTTTGTGCTCCAGGGTCACATATGACAGACAAGACAAAGCTCATTTTCAACATTTTATTGAAGTAATCATTCCTGCATCCTGCTGTCTACAAAACCTTTATAGAGCTGCACAGAGTCAGTTCAGATCATCAGGATATGTCTTCCGTCCGCTTAGACATCAGGTTTAACATATGACAGGAAGTATTATAAGAATATATGTGACTATGTGCTCTGTTTTCCTCACAGTACTAATGATGAAGCTTCCTGTCTGTCCGTTCATGTGAAATAATTTAATAGTATTCATAACTATGTGATATGTGTTTCAGGACATGTGCTCATATGGGAGATTCAAGATCAACAGCACAAGTATTTGCATACTACTACAGAAGCACACTGAAATTCACTGAAATAAAACCTCTGCATTTAGTGTCACCTGAAATCTTTGAGAGTGTTATGACACTTTCAGTTTGCTGTTCTTCTGTCGTACAGAGCGAAGACGAGTGTTGGGGGTGACGAATTACAAGTAACTAGAGTTAGGTAAAGAAGATATCTGAAAATATCTGAGTTACTTTTTCAAATAAGTAATGGCAGTGACTGTGTTTTCCCATGTATTGACTGACAGCTCTCCTGTCCTCACGCTGAGAGAAATCAGGAGTGAGTGCAGAGGTGTTGTGTGCGCCGTGTGATGCTTTCTGTAGTTCTGGACTAAATGTGAACATGTATTTACTCTTCTCACTTGCACAGAACAGACAAATATGCTTTGTGCATTTAACACAAATATGCATTTGTGCATTTAAGGTCACTGCTGACCTTTGATGGTCAAATTCAACCATGCAAATATACAAAAATGACTTTCGTTAAACATCACATTTGTGCGTGTGTGTGTGTGTGTGTGTTTGATTTATTGCTCAAATAAGAGAGTTGTTATTCATTATTTTTTGTTATCAAGCCCAGCCCATGTAAGAAAAAATAAAGCAAAGTAACAATACTTTCCATAAAAGTAACTAAGTAACACAATTCGTTTTTTTTTTTTAGGTAACGCAATATTGTAATGCATTGCTTTTAAAAGTAACTTTCCCAAACACTGGCAGAATGGACATCAAAATTAGCCCTCAAATTGTGAACTGGGTTACATCAGAAGCTTTTAGTTCAGAAAATGAGGACATTCTACTTTAAAATTAACGTACTGTGGATCACCCCTGATCCATACAAAGGTGTTTATCTGTGATATCAGCCCCTCACTGTCCCTCCAGCCAACTCTATCTCATACTGCACAAATCAGCCAGAGATGGGCTCATGCTGGAACACTGCACCTCCCAACACTGCTGACATCAAACGGCCCAAGTATGTAAACCATCATGGATCACTACTAATTACACCCTTGATGCATCTAACATCCAAGGCCACAAGAAGCCCCAGTGAGATAGTATCACAGCGTCATATAAACATGGATAAATTACAGAGTGAATGCAGGAAATGCCTTCTCCCCGAAACTCATACTATTGCAAACTTATTTTAGAGTGTTTTCAAAAATATCTGAACAAATGCTATCATTGTGGTAAATAGTGGGTAAAGTACAAATGTGGCTAAGCTGTCAGACTTTGTCAAAATATGCTATAGGAGACTTGTACCTACACAGGATGAACCGCGAAACGTTCCTAATAAAGAAGCAAATCATAACTTTAGATTTAACGTGATAACTCCAAAAATAGCATATTAACAAGAAAAAAAATCTAATTAATCACCACACGTTATCTACAGAAAAATAATTTCTTATTTTTAAGAAGATTTTTAAAGGTTGCTTCCAGTTTAGGTTTTTTTTTTATTTACTTTTTTTAGACCCGCTGCATTGTCACTGAAATTTTTTGCATTCGTTGATCTTGTATATGTGTTTTAATGCCATACAAACTTGTATTTTCAGTGATGTATTCTACATTGTTGTTGCAAATTCTGCTGATTTGTCAAGGTTTCAAGCTTGCTCACATAGATGAAGTTTTGTCAAAATTGCAAAATGACTAAAAAAATGAATTGCACGTAAAGCTGTAGCCTATATAATTGCCAGCTTGTGGACATTTTTGTAAATAATAACTTGAACAAAACTTTTAATAACAAAAACATTTAACTGACTAAATAGTCAATTATTGATAGACTGTGATATTTGTGTGTGAAGAAAAAATCCTCTGTCACTCCACAGTGAATTTAAAAAAAAGCGAAAATATTCTTCATTTTGCACTGTTTCTCGTTGTAATAAAAGCTAAATGTATTGAAGGCTTGGCTTCATCATCTCTTAAGAAATGAGCACAGCTAAATCACGCCCCCTACTGTGTCGGAGGGCAATGCGAGTAGCTCTTTTAATCATATTTGCTGAGTGTTTTTTTTTTATTTTTTTTTTTTATCAATTTGTTTCAGTCTAACACAATGGAAGAGTTGATGTACTGGTGTAATAATATTTTTTGTGAGTGTTTTGTGTCAGTGTGATTTTGTTTTGTGTGTGTGTGTGTGTGTGTGTGTCGCCTGTATATGCAAGCACTTTGCATAGGCCTATCTGAAAGGTAAAGTTAGAAAATGGCCTACTTTTCGGAAATTGCACCTCTTAGGGCACGCAGCAAGAAATATGAACCCATGTGCAGTTCCGGTGGCGGTTTATAACAAGTGCGCCACCTAGTGCACGTTGTTTGTCATAACTTGCACAAATCACTTCAAAGTCTGAGTCTGTTAATCGATGCTGTAATCACACACACACACACAAACACACACACATATATATATATTGCCAAATGTGTGGGAAATGGCCGCGCACAATTTATTTATTTTATCCTCTTTTTGCTTTTTTCTTAGCTTAATGTTTCATAATTTCAGGGTCAGATTAGACAAAGTATTTTCAGCATGAAGTATCCCGCGCAGTCTAATACTATTACACGCACAAACGCACGTGCAATAGAGCGGCATATAAAGCGGCTCTCGTGCAGCTGAAAGAGTCTTTCACACAGAGCCGGAGGAAGAACCAGTGTAGGAGGAGGGAACTCAGTTTGGGCTGGAAGAATTTAAGGGTGTGTACATGACCACAGATTTCACTCGACATTTACCTTTCTGGACAGGGTTCAGGTGTTCACTCAGGGTTTCTAACAGCACATATATATATATTGCCAAATGTGTGGGAAATGGCCGCGCACAATTTATTTATTTTATCCTCTTTTTGCTTTTTTCTTAGCTTAATGTTTCATAATTTCAGGGTCAGATTAGACAAAGTATTTTCAGCATGAAGTATCCCGCGCAGTCTAATACTATTACACGCACAAACGCACGTGCAATAGAGCGGCATATAAAGCGGCTCTCGTGCAGCTGAAAGAGTCTTTCACACAGAGCCGGAGGAAGAACCAGTGTAGGAGGAGGGAACTCAGTTTGGGCTGGAAGAATTTAAGGGTGTGTACATGACCACAGATTTCACTCGACATTTACCTTTCTGGACAGGGGTTCAGGTGTTCACTCAGGTGTTCTAACAGAAATTAAGCATTATTCTCAGCAAAGGTTCATCTGGATTCGTTATAGACACACCACTGATGTGCTGCACTGATCCTCGCGAGAGAAATGAGTGTGTGAAGCCTTTACTTCCAGTGGTAAGTGTGTGTGTGTGTGTGTCTGTGTCTGTGTGTGTGTGTGTCTGTCTGTGTGTGTGTGTGTGTGTGTGTGTGTGTGTGTGTGAGTGTGATGGGTGATTGATAGACGGGTTTTTTCCTGCTTCCTGTTCCTTGTTTACATTTGTATATTGACTGTACTGACATCAGATTTCTTTCAAATATGTGACAGTGAGTAAATGTGTTATTCTATACTTTAATAACTACTATGGTGTTAAGGGTTTTTTTTTTAGTCGAGGAAAAATAAATAGAGTAATAATAAATGACACATGAATAGTTTTTAAATGTATTAAAAAATAATAATACATAAAAGAAAAATCTATAATTTTGACCCATACAATGTATTTTTGGCTATTGCTACAAATATACCCCAGCGACTTAAGACTGCTTTTGTGCTCCAGGGTCACATTTTATAATAGCTTGTTCCTATTGTATAATGTTAAATAGTAGGCATTCAGTGTCTTATTCAGTCAATTCCCAATCAGTATAATCAAGTCCTATCCTACATTTTTTTCTTCAAAAATATTCCGTTTCCCAAAAATATGTACTATTATGGAAGTAAAATGGGTTGCGACCAACAATTCATGTTGACTTAAAGCGATCTCATTTGTGATTTTGGTCAAAAAAAGTCAAAGAGACAAAGAGAGACAGCTTTGCTTTGTGCTATAGAAATCTACTCTATTTATTAGGCATGGGCAGATTCGTTTTATTCAGTGCCACAAAACCATTGTCATCATTGTGAATGTTGTGCAGTTTCAGGAAAGACTGTGTCGTGGATAAAGGGTCTAGATGATGACGTGTGGGTTTGGGTGATGGGAGAACATCCTGATGACAAACCCTACGATCAGATCAGTGACGAGATCATGGCTGAGAGAGCAGCACTGCAGGCCCAGAGAGAGGCCGAGAAGCTCCGGTAAAACTGCACCAGTCATACTCACAGCTTTCTTTAATGTAATGCAATCTCAATTATATAGGCTATTATTTAAGTTATAAAGTAGCTATACATAATGTTATTATTTATTGCACTGCCTTTAATGCAGATTTAAATGAAAAATTCAGTGTATTATAGTATTTTTTTTATTTAATACTGAAAAAGTATCATGAGAATCTAAGGAGAATCATCATTGAACATCAGTATTATATTTTGAATATTTTCAATTTAACTTTTACTAATTTTGTCATTTTTATTAGTCCCGCACACCACTCAAGTTTGCATCTTCACAGAAATTTTGATCGAAACGTTGCTCATTAAAATCCAACGCACCCATGATTGATTCAGGTGTGCGAGGCACTAAATATTTTATTATTATCATTTTAATATTACTATTTTGTTTTTTTTTCCAAGTTCAGTTTAGTTCATTTTTTTCTTTCCAGTTGGTAATTTTAGTGCTTCAACTTGAAGGTTAAGGCAACATTTCTATTCTATTATAATTGTTCTTTAACTCTGAAAATGTATTGCTTGGCATAAACTACAAAGTAATCCACTCGGTCAACACTAGTTAAATATTTCACCAGTTTGATGGGCTGTCGTCATCACAGGGTTTGTGTGCTAATACTGTGTTCCTGCTGATGCCACTTCCTCCTCATGCACTTGCTCTTTTCAATGGGACTGCTGGACTGAAGTTAAAATGAATATTTGTTTCTGGTTTTAGAGGCATTTCCGATGTAAAATGATAATAATCAGTGCCTGCTTGGGTGTATATCAGTGCAAACAAACCAAATGGCAGGTATTTCCATGATGCAATATGTGTTGCAGATAACTGCACTGAACTAAAGGGCAAACGTCCAAGTGCAGAGTTAAACTGAAGAGACTTCTGTGTAATATAAGTCATGACAGTAACTGACCGTAACTGTTTATTATGTGCAAAATTAAACTACCACGAAATGAAATACCAGCTTAAATCCAACACACAATCCGAGCGGCTGAGTCCTTAGCCATCTTCAAGAAACGACTAAAAACACATCTGTTCCACCTTTATTTGACCCTCTAACTCTAACACTTTCTATTCTATTTTAATTCTTCTTTATCTATATTTATCTTTTTTATTAAAATTTTTTTTTTTTTTCTATTCTATCTACTTGTTTTTCTTTTCGTGTGTGTGTTTATGTGTGTGTATAATATATGTATATATACCTTGCTACGTGTACTGCGTTAGGCTAACCGAGACTTGTCATTTGCACTTATATATTGTTGCTCTTTTGTTAGTTTTGACTGCTTTTATTGTCCTCATTTGTAAGTCGCTTTGGATAAAAGCATCTGCTAAATGACTAAATGTAAATGTAATAGCGACCTGAATTTCATATCATGAAAAATACATCATGGAAAACAAAAAAGCTTGTCTGGCTTCTTTTCACATACCTTTTTTAAAGAGTATGTACTAGACCGTAAGCACAAGGCATTTCTTTTTCTGTTACGTCTTGAAGGAATTTACCTCTTATTGTTATGAGTGTTCTCGTTGACATTCCTGGTCTCCCCTCATAGCAACTATTTCCTGTTCAGTTCTGTGAATCATTCATGACCGCCAAAAACTCTAATAACCTATGCAAGTGTTCTTTTCACTTCTAAATGTACAGGGCTAAGAAAGAGGCTGAGCTGGAGAAGCGCTTTTCTGGCCTGTATCTCGAACCGGAGCAGGTTGTGTTGTCGGAGCAGGAGGTCCAGCAGAAGGAGCAGAGGAGAGCGGAGGAGGAACTCAAGGTACTGCTGCCACACAAACACAAACCCTTCTGCTTTAAACAAATGAAGAAGCAAATGTTCTGGGTCTGTCCTGACCTGGAGGCGTTTCTTTGTCAGAAACTGGAGTTGGAGGAGAGGCGTAAGGCTGAGGAGGAGCTGAGGAGGCTGGAGCAGGAGAGGAAACAGCAGATTTACATCAGCCTGAAGGAGGTGCAGGGCAGTAAACACACTCGTGACGAGCAGGACAAGGAGTGGCAGAAGACATGTAAAGAAAACCATACAATCTACACAACAATTACTAATTACAACTTAAGAACTGTTTATGATATGCATCTACAGTGTTTATGGGAAATAGAGTGAATCTCACAGAAACATGTTCTTAAGGCAGAAAGTTACTGTACATATCACCCACCCAAAATACTTTTGAGATTATTTTGAGAATAATTGCCAATGCTTTTTAAATGCTCTTTACTGTAATACAGTAACATGTTTTATTGTATCTCAGTATTAAACAAATTAGCGTAAAACTTTAAACTCAAATTATGCATACACTAAATCTTAAATATTAATATACTATTGGGTAACACTTTATTTTAAGGACCTGTTCTCACTCTTAACTAGCATGCATATTACTAGCTTATTGGCCGTTTATTATAAAGCACATATTAATGCCTTATTCTGCACGAATCCCTTAATCCGACCCATACCTAAACTTCACAACTACCTTACTAACTATTAAGCAGCAAATTAGGAGTTTATTGAGGCAAAATTCATAGCTAATAGTTAGTTAATAGTGAGAATTGAACCTTAAAAATAAAGTGTGACCTAATACACTAATAATACTGAAAATCATCGCTCCGAATATTGAGAATTACACAAAGAAACTTGTTATTTGGGGTTTAACGGCCACATGACAGTTCTTGAAAGGATGTTTTGTTCTCTGTGGTTCTGTTTGTGCTGGTATTTTCTCAGTCATGCATAAATAAAAGGAATAACCGGTGTGATTTTGCATATGTGGTTCCAGTGCAGAAGTCAAAAGCTGCAGACACGCGCAGACGATCTCTAGCCAAGCAGACTATCGAGGACCACCGCAGGCGCTCAGTTAAAGCTCTGGAAAGAGGACGTGTAGAGGCCATGACAAAGGCCTTCGGCAGCACCGATTTAACCACTCCACCCAAACCCAAACCCAGAAACAGCAGCAGTGCTATCAGTCGGTGAGTCGTGTGATATGCTTCTCATCAGAGCCAGTGGCAGTACCTGAATAATAAAGAAGTGATGAAACAGAAGGGCTGGTGGTTTGAAAGATCATAATCAATCATAATGGCCACATTTACATGCACATCATTTACCAAAAACAATATGAGTAAGCCTTTATTCTGAAGAAGATTCCATGCTTCCCTGCTACTGGAATATTCCTGTATTGATGTAATCAGCATATTCTGTGAACGGCTTCTTCTTTTCCTGCTACTCTCATGTGGAAATACTGGAAAGGCTTGCTCTTGACATTTATTTGAGTTCTTTTGTTCTAATTATGGACAGTAATTGAACCTGACTCGTGCTCATTCATGCTCTTGCTAACAGCACACAGAAGGGGCCATCAAAGGCCAAATGTAGGTCATGGGACTCTTATGGTGCTCTCAGCCATCTGCATATCAATATACGTTCATTTCCTTTAACGTTTGTATGGAAACGTCCTCTTCACTCCAAAAATAATTTTCTTTTCATTTGGACATGTTGTGCATGTTGTGAATAAGGTTTCTAAATTACATATAATTTAGATTGTTAGTTGTCTTATTCAGATTTAAAAACAAAACAAAAAAAACCATTGAATTTTGGTTTACATTCACGTGCATGTAAACACAGTCTATTAAACCAATGAGCGGAGACCGTCAATATGGCATTATCCGGGTCAAGATGTGATGTAGCAGCAATTCTTTATATTTAGTATTGACACCACCATTCAACAGTGTGAGGTCCCCAAGATCTTCTTTGCATATTTTTAAGCTACCAAGGCTGCATTTATTTGATCAAAAAAATAGTAAAAACATTTAAAAACAGGATTTTTTTGATGAATAGAAAGTTCAATAGAACAACATTTATTTGAAATAGAAATCTTTTGCAACATTATAAATGTCTTTACTGTCACCTTTGATTAATTTAATGTGTCCTTTGCAAATAAAAGCATTAATTTCTTTCAATCAATCAATCAATCAATAAAATAACAAATATTACCAGTAGCGTATTCATTTGAAACTGTGGTAAATTGTTCTAAGTTTGAATTTTAGTGGAACAGAAATTGAGTTTGATTTATTGGGGAACGATTGCAGCAATATGTTCATTATTCAGGTTTGCTCTGAATGCTGGTTAACCTGCTTTTTCACAAAAATATGCATGCAACTCAAATATTGATCTTAAGTTTAACGTGAGAATACTGATAACTGTATTGAGATGTAAAATATTGTACTTTGACCTAGATTTTTTCACCCACCTTTAAATTTGATGTAAATATAACAATCTGCATAATATAATCTATTTATCAGTAATTAGTAATCTAATAGTCAGTAATCAGAAAGTTATGCAGAGACCTTGATTCTGGGAAAACTGGAACGTCACCTGTCTCTCTTAATAGTGCTATTAATAGTGATATATTGATCGCAGCTGTATGTCACATCTTTTCATTCAGATGTCTGATTCATCTCAGGAATGTCGTACTGCAGACTGTTTGTGCAGTTACGTGTTTTGACAAGGAATTCTCCTCAACACATCATCTGTTGTGCAAAGACACTGTCAGTTTTTAAGATTTACATTCTCCCGTTACATACATTAAAAGATGTCTCAGTTCTGGGGTTGTGCTGTATGGTGGTTGATGATCCAGGATTTGATTAAGATATGAGAGTAATTAAACGTCTCGTGTTCTGATTGGCAGGAAGGGTGGTATGCGGCGCTCACTGTCAGCGTCTAGCCGAGACCATATTATTCGCTGGTTCAAGGAGGAACAGTTGCCGCTCAGAGCAGGATTCCAGCGCGACCAGAGCCGGATCGCATCCTGGTTTCACGGTGAGAAATAAACAGACTATATTCATTCATTTAACTTACAGTATAAACTACTAGAGGTTACACACAATGCTGCTGGATTTCCCATCATTCACATAATCTCATGTTACCTGCAGGTATAATATCTCGTGAACAGGCAGAGGTGCTATTGAAGGAGGGCGAGCCTGGGGACTTCCTGGTGCGTGTTAGCGAGAGGATCTTTGGATATGTGCTTTCCTACCGATCCAGTGAGGGAATCAAGCACCTGCTGATTGATGCTTCAGAGAACTGCTACATGCTGCTGGGAGATCAGATCAGATTCAGCTCGCTCACTGAACTGCTGGAATATCATCAGGTAAATGTGCTATACGTCACTCACTGGTCCTGGGCAAACAGGTTACATTGGGCCAGCAGAATCCAGAACCATTTCTGGATTTTATTTCTTCAGGTGTGCACATCCCGAAAAAATAATAATAACACCATGTTCATTTACATTGTCATTTAGCAGACGCTTTTATCCAAAGTGACTTAAAAATGAGGACAATAAAAAAATGTTCACGTTCAGAAAATAAAATTAATATACTTATGAATTATTGTTCACGTGTGACCAGATTTACATACAAAAAATACACCATAAATAAATGCACAAGTGTCCTCACACATTTTTGTGTTTACATTTATGAACTGATTGTTCCCTATCGAACGGTCTCTCTCGTTGCGTTTAACACGCTTATGGGGAAACTCCTGTTTACTCTGATGCTGAAGTCTGATTTGTTCACGTTCGTGTAGCTGCACGAACAAATGGCGCTTCAACCCGCCAAAAGGTGAGGAGCCGACTGCTATATAAGTAGGCTCAGAGCGCCATTTTTCTGAATTCAGTGATGAAGATCATCTCCTCGCTGGACTCTGAAGAAAGAAGCCAAAGCAAGAAGATCAGCCTGCTGCTCGCCGTAGAAGAGCCCCTGGCAGTGGAAATATCGCAGAGCAAGCCTTCCCCTGCAGCCATCCGGTGTATTAAAAAGAGCAAATTTTCGGAGCAAATTTCACTGTGACGTTGTTGCAAATGTCACGCCGTGAGTGTGGCTCATGCAGGGAACCTCTGCATGACACAGACGGGTACGGTGAGTGCGTCACTTACCTGGGCAGCGCCCATGCTGAGACTGCGCTCATTGGGACTGAATGCTCTCACTGCAAGAGCATGAGTCTCTCCCTGCTTTGCTCGTGGATCTCCTTTCTTTCGCCAGGAGCCTCGGAGGAAGAAACAGAGGTGCAGCGGGGTTCCATCGGGCTCGACTGAACTCATGCCGGCCCGCGTGCTTCACTCTACCCGCAACGCTTTGATTTGCCTGTGTGCTTCACATGCTTCTGACACAGAGGAGTGGGCGTGTTCAGGCGAAGATCCTGACACCCTCCCTTCATCTCAACCAACACAGCCCACAGGCCCAAGTCCTGATGCGCCACGCGGTCACGTGGTTCATGGAGCGCTCAATAGTTCCAAACAACTCTGAGCTGTCAATATGTTTGAATGGGTTTAAGTAGGATAGAAAGCAGTTTCACTATATTTTCAGCAATTTCTAGTGATTAACAACACATCATGTGCATTGATTGTGTATTGATAACTACGCTGACTACGTTTAATAATCGCATTTTATTCTGGGGAGTAATGAAGAGACAGCATTAATATTTTTTCTAATATGCTTATTATTTCTATTACAATAAAGAAATTATGTTTTTTGAGGAAAACATTTCAGGATTTCTCTCCATATAATGGACTTCTATGGTGCCCCTGAGTTTGAACTTCCAAAATGCAGTTTAAATGCAGCTTCAAAGGTCTCTAAATGATCCCAGCCGAGGAAGAAGGATCTTATCTAGCGAAACGATCGGTTATTTTCTAGAAAAAAAATACAATTTATATACTTTTTAACCTCAAACGCTTGTTTTGTCTAGCTCTGAGTGAACTCTGTTTTTTCCGGTTCATGACAGTTAGGGTATGTCGAAAAACTTCCATCTCATTTTCTCCTCCAACTTCAAAATCGTCCTACATCGCTGTTTTGCCGTTTTTTTGTAAAGGGCATTTGATCTTCTTTGCATGTTCACTTTGCAAACACTGGGTCGGTACTTCTGCAGCGATGTAGGATGATGTCATCTACCCATTCATTAAACTATGACAAGTGAGTTACTGCAAAAAGACGGTCATTGCAACACTGTAAAGTGATGAAACTATGGTGCCACATGTTTTTTAAAACCATTTTCATAGGTTTAAAGTTATATTATCCACTTGGAAAATATGTTAATTTGACTAGAAACACCAAAGACCAGAAATGTAAAGCATCTCTGACTTTACTTCAGTATTATGACGTATTTACGACTGAAACCGAATATTAAATAGAAGGGGCGGGGTTTTATTTAAGCACCTCCTCTCCACCTCTCGCTCGCAGCAAACTCCGGTTGGAGGGGCGTGGTTAAGGATACTCTGCCCCAGAGCCGTTGAGAAACAGTTGCGAGACGCTTTGATCTCGCTGCCACGCGGTCACGTGGTTCATGGAGCGCTCAATAGTTCCAAACAACTCTGAGCTGTCAATATGTTTGAATGGGTTTAAGTAGGATAGAAAGCAGTTTCACTATATTTTCAGCAATTTCTAGTGATTAACAACACATCATGTGCATTGATTGTGTATGTTTTGCATTGTATATTTAGACATTATCAAACACTCAATGCTTATAAGTTTTGCTTTTTTTTTAATGTTGAATTTAAAAAGATTAATTACTCACATCCCAGTATTATTTTATGACATTTATGTAATAAGACAATATAAGTGAATGTTAAAAAAGGCCAGCAAATACGTAATTTAACCCAATAAAAAAAATTTAAAATAACGTTTTAAAAAAACACAAGGCAACCAACTGCATTCAGGGAAACTCTTTCTTGTATTCCTTTAATGGGCAGTCTTCACTGAAACTCATTCAACTTCCTACAGGGAGAGAAAGATTGCAGAAAGACTAAAAACTTAATATGACAACTAGCATCTGGTTATGATCGCTATTAAGGTGTTTCTCACTGCAAATATAGCATAACTGCCTATTATCTAAAACTAAACATTAACTATAACGCGTTTCATAAAATACAACTACTGGCCAGATTTCCGAGAAGTAAACTAATGCGTTAAAATGCCAAAAACTGCTGTAATTTCCTCAACTCTCTGGCAAGTGTGCTTGAGAAGCACTGAAATGAATGGGCTTCAATACTGGATCTATTGGCTGCTCCATGACACGCTTTACTAGCATTCCTCAGTTCCTATGGAAGCCTATGGGAGTGTCGCAACTCTGTTTCTCAGCGGCTCTGCTCCGCCCAAGCCGTCAAACTGACGTCATCAGAGGAGGAATGCCATTCCAGAGCTGAAGTAAATGTAAATCTTGATTTCATGAGGACTTTAACACGTCTGTACTATTGCTGTGGAGAAATAGTTGACTTTTTGGGCTTATACACAGTCTGTTGTACCTCACTGTACACCGTTTTTTTGAAAATGCTTATTATTGTGTTTGTTGCATAGAATGAAGCTTTCACTGATTGCATAATGTTTAACGGAAGTTACTACCATAATTGACACAAAGCATCATGAGACGTAGGAAAACGGTGGATATGTGCAATTTCAGCAGTCATCTCAGAGTAGGTTGGGTTTGAGTTGGATTGAGAGGGTGTTCGTGTGTGTGTGGTGATGTGTAACTCTATATTTTGTGGCACTAGGTAGAGCCGCTGAACTCGTCTGGAGTGGAGGAGTGTCTGCGGCGCGCGTGTGGACAGAAAGCAGCCGCAGCAGATTATGCAGAACTCTTCACCTGAACTCCAACCAACAGAAGAGTGCAGAACCTGTGCCTTACACGGTCACCAGCACTGCAAATACACTAACACTGATAATAACTGCAAAGCAACATGCCTGCGATTCTTTTACAGGCATCGTCACATTTCATAAGCACCCCTGTTTAAAAGTATTACATTTATCTGAAGTTTAAATCCAACATTAAAAATTATTTTCCATCCCAAAACACCAGCCTGTTCCTTTGTGTAACAGAAAAGATGAAACTCAAAAAAGATGAAGTGGGTTACACTTTATTTTAAGGTGTCCTTGTTACAGTGTAATTATACATTTAAGTACTACATGTACTTACTATAGGGTTAGGATTACTTGGGGTTTGGATTAGGGTGACTTGCATGTAATTATGCATAATTAATTATTATAATAGTAAGCACATGTAACGTGTAACAAGGACACCTTCAAATAAAGTGTTACCGATGAAGTGAAACTGAAAAGTCTTTTTTTTTTTTCATGCAAAATACCTTTTCATTTCAGAAATGTATATGACAAGAACACTCTTCATTTTATTCTATACGAACTAGCTGGTTATTTTAAAACAAATCAACTATAACAAACCAACAACAACACAAAGTTTATTCTTTTTAATCACAAAATACATTTGAAAACCGTTTTGGAAGCATGTAGTTTTGTTCGTCTGACACTTTATTCAAAAAATGCTTGGCTGTGATATGAAAACATTTACTCATAGTTGACTAACATGTTCCTTAAACTTTCAGCAGGTTTTAAATGAGTGGAAATCATGAAGGAAACACTATACTGCTAACAACACTTTATTGGAGTTTTACAGGTTTGAATTAAGTTATTGTGAGCCGGGTTCAATTTATCCCATTAAATGCATTTTTTCCTTCTTTTTTTTTTCCTAAAGAGGTCACTTAAATTTAATGGTTTAAAAATACACAAGACAGAAATGGACATAAATGTACAAACACTTAAAAGTGACTCGAGCTTTGGAATCTCACAAAAGTGTGCAAAGTTAAGCTTCCCTTATTGATGTGCACATATTTCATAAAGTGACATGGACTCACACAGAACAGATTCAGCTGGAGAACGACACAAAGATCAGTAACAAACAGTCATCCAAAACATTGGACTTGAAACCAAACCTAGAGACTTGTGTTTCCCTTTATGTATCCATTAATTACTGTAAGCGGGTTACATTTCATTACCATTACCATTTATGTTGCACACTGACTTAATCTGCAGCAAGGTCCTAATTTAAGAACTTGATTTTGAATGTGAATAGTTTACAAGCACACTCTAGCAGTGATGTTACACAGAAGTCACTGGCGTTCAGTACAGTTCTAGTAATAAAAAACCCTGCTCATTACATGCTACATGAGTCTCTTCACTCTGCATTCAACTAAATGTTTCAAATTCAGAGCGAGGACACAAATCTTGATTTAAGATGGCGATTTTAGCGATTGAAGAAAATTTAAATACATTTAAAAACAACTGAATGATTGAATCCCTGCAGAAATAGCTTTTCTTGAGCTGTTAAAAGCAATATGATAAATGCATAGCTTTAATTAAACCCTTTTAAAATGTAAAAACTAACTTTGAGCGAGTTTCTTGTAATGAAATTCACAGGTACTTAATTAGTTGGTTAGTACTTCTAGTACCACGACTTAATTCCTGTGAGAAGCACCCAAGGAACCGTTCCCAACACACAGAGTACCTCTTCCATCAGGTAAACACAGACAATGAGCGCCTCATTTAAGGCACAGCGTGCTACATGAAGAACTGGCCGAACAGATTGGCCACGCCGAGGAGGACGAGGAAGCCGTGGAAGACGGCGGAGGGCCAGCGTAACTCCCCTCTGCGCTTCAGTGAGGTCAGGTGGATCAGAGAGGGAAGCACAAACACCAGAGCCAAGCCACATAGGGCCCCCGAATACCTGAGAGGAAACCAACCTTTACAAAGCCTGCGGTTCCAAAGTCAAGTCACCTTCATTTCTATAGCGCTTCACACAATACAGATTGTGTACAACAGCTCCACAGAGATAAACAGGCTCAAGTCTGGAAACTCAACTACTGAAGTCTGGCAGAGAGAGAGTTCAATGCAAATCCTTCACAGCACTGCTGGATACGCACAGCCTCTGCCCAGTTTAAGAAATAATGACACGAAGTTCCTGTTTTAAAAAAGGAAGCAGGAAACAGTCTCTTACCTGATGATGGAGCCGATGTTGGGGTAAAACCTGGCCATTAGGACTCCAGCTCCCACAACAAGGAGGTTCAGAATAAACACATGAAGGAAACTAGGAATGGAAAGACGAGGCATCAATAATGTCAGTACACTGAGATCATTCTTGTAAGCATACAGTGCAAGTCAGTGTCCCGCTCATACTATATGATTTACAAGCACCTCTTCCAGCTCCAACACATCAATCTGAGAAATTACTGAGTATAGGGCATTTACATGGGGTTTTGTCATTTTATTTTATTTTTATAAATGAGGCTGTGGCTTAACACTTTAAATGCAGGATTTTTAAGGAAGTCACACACTCAAGCATCACGATTGGTCCATTAAATACAGGAAGACAACTCCGTCAAAGGTTTTACGGACAATGAAGTAGTCTACATTGAAAAGATGTGCCCGTGTGCTTTTGTAATGTTAACTTTTAAATGCGACACTGTTTCAAACACACACTTGTGGTCAAAATTTACAAACACTTTGCAGTCTCTGCAAAATGTTAATTATTTTACCAAAGTATACAAAATGCATGCTAGTTTTATTTAGTACTGACCTGAATAAGAGATTTCACATAACCCACAAGAGAAAATAATAGTTGAATTTATAAAAATGACCCCGTTCAAAAGTTTACTGTGTTTTTATCTGGATGATCCACAGCTGTTTTTTGTTTGTTTGTTTAACATAATGCCACATTATGTTAATAACTCTGAAACAGCACCTTCTAAAAGAATAAGGCCACTTAGTCTAAAATTAATAATTTAATTTTCCTCTTTTGTTCCATAATGTGCAACGCACATCTCAAAAATCTGTTTTAGTGTTTCATTCTTTAAAGGACAAAAATGTGTGCGGCAACTGTTTTGAATGTTACATGATCTCAGCTATTTTGTAAAGCGTGCTTTAATTTTCAAAAGTAGGCCTTTTGCCATTATTCAATCTCTTCATATTTATGTATTATCTCTATAAAGGATGATTCCCCACACCACCTTTTTCATTCAGAGGAACCTTCATTTCAAACAAACAGCAAAGAAGACTCAGAGATTCACTTCTCAATTGTTTCAGTGGATGTGTCATGAAGCTAAACAGTTAATTAAACTGATTTGCTGTTTTGAAGCGATTGAAACTCTACTTGGTGAGGACATCTGCTGGATAAAGCCATGGAACTGCACTAAATACCATGAAATACAAAAATTTTTGTACAAATATGTTGAACACTTTTACAAGCAGAATTTGAAAAATTCCACTAAAAACTGACTCGAGAGCGGGTACAAACATACTTTTAATACTGGTTTAAGACTTCAACTGGGATAAACTCCCTCACAACATTAAACCGCTGACATTTCAAAATGTTTCAAAACAGTATGACGTAACTAAGCCTTGTTTGAAAATATCACATGATTTTGTAACAAAGCACTGATCTGAAACTAAAGATTTCAAATGCGCCCATCAGTCATAACTCACTATCATACACAACTGTTACTCACCTGGGATAATGGTCCCCAAAGAGCTGCCCCATCAGCTGCACGCGCACCAGGTACCCCAGCAGAGGATACACGGTGGTCATCTGGAACAGAAGACAAGCCCTCGCTACAAACACCAGCACATCGCTGCTGGAGAAGTTATCCAGAAAGTTCTGTAGAGGAGGACGAGGCAATGTCAGTATGAATGAATGCACCTCAAACAGCTCGCTTTGAAAAAATATATGATATTAGAGTTGCAGTTGCATGCTCAGTCTTACTGGTTCAATGCACTCTTTAGACAGCGGTGGTGATGGGAAAGCAGCAAAGATCAGCACGCCCACATAGAGGTACGTTAACCCCACCAGCAGGTACGCCAACGACAGATCCCGCACCTGCGGACACAGCATCAGTTCACACTCACTACTGAACTACAGCTGATGCACAACACTACTGGATCAGTCTCAGACATTGTCACTATACTACTATGAAATACAAATGTTTTACAATGATGATAAATAAAACACTATTTTCAGTTTGGTTTTAGTTTTATTCGGCAAGGATGCATTCAATTGATCAAACGTGACAGCAAAGACTTTTACATTGTTACCAAAACATATGAAGAAAATATTCCCACAAAAATATTAAGCAGTACAATATTGATAATAATCAGAAATGTTTCTTGAGCAGCAAATCAGCATATTAGAATGATTTCTGAAGGATCGTGTGTCACTGAAGACTGGAGTAATGATGCTGAAAATTCAGCTTTGATCACTGGAATCAATTACATTTTAACATATAGTACAATAAAAAAACAACCATTTTAGATAGTGTTAATATTTCACAGTAATATAATGTTTATTGTATTTTTGATCAGCCTCGATCAGCATAAGACACTTCTTTCCAAAAAATGTTTTCTTCTGATCTGAGTGTTCTTGAAAGGTTTAGTAAGAATTCACCTAATATAAATCTTACAAAATAATTATTTGTCTTCATATCTTCATGTTGTTACAACGAACAATTCATATGTTTGCTCAGTGACTGGACATTGTGCAATGAAGTGCTATGGCCAAACCATACACACACACACACTCACTCACTCACGCACACACACTCTCACACGCTCACGCACACTCACTCACCTCACACACTCACAATCACTCACTCACACTGTCCCACTCACTCACTCTCCCACTCACTCACTCTCCCACTCACTCACTCTCCCACTCACTCACTCTCCCACTCACTCACTCTCCCACTCACTCACTCTCCCACTCACTCACTCTCCCACTCACTCACTCTCCCACTCACTCACTCTCCCACTCACTCACTCTCCCACTCACTCACTCTCCCACTCACTCACTCTCCCACTCACTCACTCTCCCACTCACTCACTCTCCCACTCACTCACTCTCCCACTCACTCACTCTCCCACTCACTCACTCTCCCACTCACTCACTCTCCCACTCACTCACTCTCCCACTCACTCACTCTCCCACTCACTCACTCTCCCACTCACTCACTCTCCCACTCACTCACTC